GAGAGAGAGAGCGAGAGAGATAAAGAGAGAGAAAGAGAGAAAGATAGAGAGAGAGAGAGAGAGAGAGCGAGGAAGAGGAGAGAGAGAGAGAAAGAGATAGAGAGAGAGATAGAGAGCAGAGAGAGGAGAAAGAGAGAGAAAAAGAGAGAGAGAGAGAAGAGAGAGAGAGAGAAAGAGAGATGAGAGAAAGAGAGAGAGAGAGAAAAGAGAGAGAGAGAGAAAGAGAGAGAAGAAAAAAAAAAGGATAGAGAGAGAAAGATAGAGGAGAGAAAGAGAGAGAAAAGAGAGAGAGAGAAAGAGAGAAAGAAGAGAGAGAAAGAGAAGAGAGAAAGAGATAGAGAGAAAGAGAGAAGAAGAAAGAAAGAGAGATAGAAAGAGAAAGAGAGATAGAAAGAGAGATAGAAAGAGAGATAGAGAGATAGAGGAGAGAGAGAGAGAGAGAGAGAGAGAGAGAGAGAGAGAGGAGAGAGAGAGAGAGAAGAAGAGGAGAGAGGAGAGTGTGTGTGTGTGTGTGTGTGTGTTTGTGTGTGCGCGCGCAGCCGGATTAAGAAGTTTCCGGGCCCTAGATATTCAGATTGGCGGGCCCCTTTGAGGTTACGGTTAAGCGAAGCGACCCGCCACCCGCCCTCCTTTCCACTTGGGGTGGGGGGGGTCGGGGGTTTTAAAATACATTCTGGCTATTAATTTAATTTAATAGGGAAAGTACATCAAGACAACCAAAACCATTTACCAACCAGCCATATAACTATCTTTTTAAATCATGCCATTTTAAAGAGAAATAACTCAAGACAGCATAGTATTACTAGATTAGGCTATTAAAGTAGTGACATCATGTCCCTATTTATTTTCAGTCATAACCACTACAGCACATTATTCCCTTTATAAATCACTGACCATTATTGTTATCATAGCATCATGCATAAGACTATCATATCATATAAACCTCAAGAAAGTAAAGAATTGTTTGTATTCACAGGCACTCTAAACTTTTTCTGGATTTCATATTGGCAAAATCATCAATTTATATTTCTGAAAATCATATATTCTTGTTAGATCAGACTCAATGTCAACAAGGCTAGATTACACAATTTGTCTTGGCTCATGTTGAACGGATCTGGTTTTTCACTCTTTTCAAAACAGAAAATGAACTTCTCCTTCACAGTTAGTACTGGCAGTGTTTAGGTAAAGGCGATACACTATGTCAACATTAGGGAAGGTTTCTGGATACCTGCATTTCTTTAAATGTTTCAAAGCAGATGAGGTCGCACATTTTTCAGGTGGAGCTTAATCTATTCATATACCCAGAAAATGAACTTATATCTTCAACAAAAGTGTCCTGAACATCTGCTGAAAGGTGTTGTTTGCAACTTTAATGCAGCCTCTCTCAATTCTGCATCTGGCATAGTAGTAATATTTTTTGTTTTGACAGAAATCCAAACTTGTCATTGAGATTCTGTAGATTTCTTTCTTTTCACCATTCTGTAACTCAGTGAATCCCCCAATGATGACGTAATGTGCAGTCTTACAATTCTTCAGTTAATTTGTCACAGTACAAAGTCTAGATAACGTGTAATTTTACTACAGAAAATTGGGAGAGGAATCGCCCACACTCACCCATTAGCGGGAAAACACCGCTTGTTCTTATGTAAACAAAGGCGTGTTGAGTGTTGCCATCTATGGTTTAGGTTTATTTTATTTTTATTTTAGGGCCCCTTTGCATTTGCACCATGTGCGCAGTCTTGGATGAGCCCCTGAAACCCATGGACCGCGGCTCCCAAGGGCGCGGGCCCTAGGCAATGCCATTTTGCCTATGCGGTAATCCCGGCCCTGTGTGTGTGTGTGTGTGTGAGTGGTGTGGTGTGTGTGTGTGCGCGCTCTGTGCAGCTTGCACAAGCATGCGCCCAAAAATGTGCATTTCGTTCATGTTAAACTGAAAATCGACAAAGCTGTAATAATAAACGGTAAAATATAAAAAACAAACATAAATAGTATATATCACTTACTCTGCATTTGAAATATAGGAGGCAATGAAAATTTTGAAGGGCTGCATACTTTGTACGGAAGTCATACTGCAGTTCATCTGATTAAAATAAATTAATGTTATATTAAAAACATGCCTGAACAAAATTCATATGTAAAAAAATACAGCCCATTAATCTATTATGTGAAAAATTACGTTAAATAAAGCATAGTAAATAGATTAAACGCAAAAAATGTAATAAATTCCTTTTATTTGTCCTCTATACTTTGAAGAGATTACTTCATATTTTTTTTTTTATCAACACATCGGCCGATTCCCACCATGGCAGGGTGGCCCAAAAAAGAAAAACTTTCATCATCATTCACTCCATCAATGTTTTGACAGAGCGCACTTACACTACAGTTATAAAACTGCAACATTAACACCCCTCCATCCCCATGGACTCAAGTCCGGCCTGCGGTTTCCCTGAATCCCTCATAAATGTTCCTTTGCTCACACTTCAATAATAGCAAGTCAAGTATTAAAAAACCATTTGTCTCCATTGACTCCTATCAAATAAGCTCACACATGCTTACTTCATATACTCAACTATAAAAGATTAAAAGCAGTATGCAGCAGTAAAAATCCATTTTCATATTAATAGTACACAATACCAACAGATTGATGAATGAAACACGTACAACACTTGGCATCTTTATTGCTAAAACAGGAACTGACTACCTTCTATTAAGACTGGGGGGCTGATCACCTCAAAATTACTTGTCTCCAGTTTTATATCTACCATTTTTGGGACTGAGAAAGGGTATTGGGTGCCCCCCAAATTGCATCCCACTTTTACAAACCCTTTTCCCTGCTGATTCCAAAAAAACCCTTTTTTAAAGGGGTTTAAATTTGGGTTTCCCAAAGAATGGAATCCAAATTTTGAAAACAATGGGAAATTAGCTTTTGACTTGCAATGTTTCAATCAATGCGGCTCCCCTTTAAAAACCTTTTAGTAGGTATAATTTTCAAGGGTCACTTGTTACAAAAGTATCTTTTCTATTTTTTAACACCCCCAGCTTTTTTCCCATTGAGGTAGTGTTTCACCTCCCCCCATCCCCCCAAAAAAAAAAAACCGTTCCCATACCATTAAAATCACCGTTTTGGGAAAAGGGAAAGGGACCCTTAAATAAAGTTTTCACCACCCCCTTAAATACAAAAATGCAGTCACTGTACCTCCCTCGTTTTAGAAAAACCATTACTTTTTTTTTTCATGACTTTATCATGTGCATACACAAAAGCACCACAGATACAGGGCCCTTTATAGGGTTTTAATACTAAACACCCTGAAGAGGGCTCGTGAAAGGTCATGGGCATCCTGGGGGCAGGACTAATAAAAGGTCACAAGTGTGGGGGAATTTGAGGTCACTCCCAGGGAACTAATAAAAAAAAAAAATTGGTTATAATTTATGACCTTAATTTTTAAAGGGCAGCCCGGTAAGCCAGCAAAAGGGGGCCCGGTCAGAGGGCCCAAAAAGCTCCTACGGGGGGTTTTTTTCATAGGGTCCGAGAC